ACGCAGCAGCGCCGAAGCTGAGTTTTGAGCCTTAGCCATTTGGCTAAAGCGACTACTGGAAGAACTTAGAGTAAGGATAGATGGACCTATAGAAATGCTATGTGACAATCAATCAGCTATAGCCATCGCAAAGAACCCGGTGCACCACGACAGAACGAAACACGTTGAGATAGACAGGCACTTCATCAGTGAGAAGATTGAAAGCAGAATGATCTCCTTAAGACATGTTCCTTCACAGCACCAGGTAGCAGACATTTTTACTAAAGCTCTTCATTCTCCTAACTTTCACGAGTTGAGTTCTAAGCTAGGCATGGCAAGTATATACCATCCAGCTTGAGGGGGAGTGTAGAAAATCAAGCTAGACGTTAGGATTCTTGTGATATCCCGGATATTAAGAGTATTCACAAATATTGTAATACTAGTTTAAATTTCAGAGATAAGATCTATTAGTTCCTGATTTTGTGGACTAGGGTTAGCTCCTCTTATGTGTATATATATACCCGTTAATCAATGAATAAGATTCAGAGGATCACTTCCTAAATTTCCTCACATACTATCTTGATATCCAACAAAATCGGAGTCAGTATACCCAATGATCTCAATCGGAGTCTTTTGTTCTCTGTAAGTACCGCAAGGCCCGTTTGGCTGCTTTCCAATGGTCTACTCCTGGATTGCTTAAATATCTGCCCAACATCCTAACAATGTACGCATTATCCTGACGCGTACAAACCTGAGCATACATCATACTTCATACTACTGACGCATAAGGAATCTTCTGCATTTCCTTTTCCTCAAAATCATTCTTAGGACACTGATTGAGACTAAACTTGTCTCCCTTTGACATAGGAGTATCACCTGGTTTGCAATCTTACATGCATATATCTTGAGAACTTGTTCGATATAACTCTTTTGTGATAATCCAAGAATATCCTGAGAGCGATCCTAGTGTATCTTTATGCCTAATACAAAAAAGGTGTCACTAAGATCTTTCATCTCAAAATTCTTAGCTAGAAATCTTTTGATTTTGTGCAATAAGCCTATATCGTTGTTGGCAAGCAAAATGTTATCGACATATAAAATCAAAAAAATATACTTGCTCCCACAGAACATAATCAATCATCGACCAAATTTGTCTCAAAACCGAACGAGATGATCACTTGATGAAACTTAAAATACCATTGTCGAGACGCTTATTTGAGCCCATAGATGGATTTCTTAAGTTTGCAAACCATATTCTTTGGGCCTCCTGACACAGTTTTCTAGTTGCATCATATAGATTGTCTCATCAATGTTATCATTGACAAACGATGTCTTTACATCCATCTGATGTAACTCAAGATCAAAATGCGCCACCAATACCATTATAGTCGTGAAAGAGTCTTTCGAAGAAACCGGAGAGAGTCTCTTTATAGTCGATGCTTTCTTTGTATAAAGCCCTTGGCGACAAGACGAGCCTTGTATCTTTCCACATTACCTTTTGAATCCCTCTTGGTCTTAAATATCCATTTGCAACCAATAGGTTTCACACTTTCTAGAAATGGGACAAGATCCCACACGTCATTGTCCTTTATGGACTTAATCTCCTCAGTTATGGCATCAATTCACTTTTGAGAGTCTTTCCATGGCTTGACGGAAGTTGATCGGATCATCTTCCATCACTCTAATGCCAATCTCATGTTCTTGGAGAAATACAATGTAGTCATCTGGCACTGCACTTATCCTTTCTCTAGTGGATCTCCTTAAGGGCATAGGTTTTTGAGATAATAGAGTTTGTTCTTTTGGAATAATTTCTTGAATTGGAGTGTTAGACATCTGGTCTAGAAAGTCTACGTTAGAAGGGCCAAGAGTGGTAAAGGGATGGGCCCAGGCCCAAATGAGATGGTTCAGGGTGGGCCAGGCCCAGTGGAGATGGATCAGCCCAGGGGTGGGGACGTAGCCAGTTAGGAGGCCGTTACGGGGAGGCGTGCGAATTGGTTAGAGGATGAGTGTTTTAAGGGGAGCATCGAGGAGGGTGAGGACATGAAGAATTTGGTGCTGGATTGATACTGGGAGGTTGTGGGATTCCTCGAAAATCCCTCTCTATCTTACTTCTTTCATGCAATTCCTTTTCGTAATTCTTCCTATAATTTCTTCCATTTCTGAAGTTCAAGAGCTACGATTGAAGCTCCTTGTTGCTGGAGAAATAGTTTGAATTCAATAAAAAGGACTTCTAGCCAATTCTCGTCTACTAATTGCTAGCTAACCGTAACAGTAGAGGCTAGGATCCTAACATGGAGGTTCTCCGACATTGTTTTGATCTATTGTGTCTTGAACAAAGTCAGGAATGGAATCCTGATCAATGCCAATAACACTTGTGGGAATATCTACATATTACTCTTCAAAGACAAAGTCTCTAAATGTATCTCCCCCTGCAAACTTGGCATTCTCAAAGAACCGGACATTTCTCGACTCGAAAATCGACTGTGTCGTGGGATCAGAAAACTTGTACCCCTTGGATCTTTCAGAGTATCCAATAAAATAGCAACTTACAGTTCTTATGTCCAGTTTTTAGGCCTATATGGCCTAACTCAGCTGGTCATCGCCAAATATGCAAGTGTTTTAAACTAGGCTTCTTGCCCGTCCAAAGTTAATAAGGGATTTTGACAGTCGTTTTAGTTAGAACCCTGTTAAGAATATCTACTGTAGTCTTAAGCGCTTCTCCCCAGAATGATTTTGGTAAGGTAGAATGACAAATCATACTCCTCACCATGTCTTTAAGCATTCTATTTCGTCTTTTAGCAACACCATTCATAGTGGGCGAACCCGGCATAGTGTACTATGGGACAATACCGCATTCCTTTAGGAACTTAGTGAATGGTCCTGGACGTTGTTCACCTGAACCGTCACATCTACCATAATACTCACCACCACAGTTAAATCTGACGGTTTTAATCATTTTGCTAAGTTGGTTCTCAACTTCAGCCTTATAATTTTTTAACACATCTAGCGATTGTGACTTTTCATGAATGAGATATATATATATATAGCCATATTTGAAATAATCTCAAGATATATATAAACATACCAATATTCAAATTTACATTGCACCAAAATTGACTAAAAAAATAAATACTTTGACTTGGTCAGGGCTGGACCTGCTCTAGTCAACCCAAACCCGGATCCTAAACCAGCCCGCCTACTCGTTTCTGCCTCTCTGTTTTTTTTTACATATGGCTACGGGCTGTCTTCATTCACGGGCCCAATTGGGCCCGTGTAATTCCAAAAGGCCTGAGGGCCTTAGAGAATTTTTTTTTGTTATGCTGCGGGCCGAAGCCCGCAGCGTCTTTCCTTAGATACGGGCCCAATTGGGCTTATGCTGTGTTGCTAGCAGCTTTGGGCCGAAGTCCAGAGTCTGCTGCCCTAAGGGTCGCAACATGTTGCGACCCTTCCATCATGGCAGCTACCATGGCCGCCTGTTGTACGGCCGCGGCTCTACTTTGCTGGGGCGGCTTGAGGCCGTGCTGGTTTTCCTGTGCGCCGGCAGCGGCGGAAGCAGCTGCCAGTCACAGTTCTTTAAAATTTTTTTTTTCTCTCTTATGCCGCCGCGGCTGTCCTTGTCGGTGTGGTCGTGACTGTGCCAGCAACAGAAAATTGCCGCCGGTCAATAACATCCCCTTTTTCATATATATTTTTTTAAACCGAAAATTATTAAATAAAATATGAATACATCCATAAAAAATTCATCCAAAATTTGTTCTCAATGATTCAACATGAATAGACTCTGATACCACTTGTTAGAAAATATCCTTAGATGTAAAACATATCTCAAAATTTAGGAAACATTCATGTTAAGGCCTCGTTTATTTCACCGATTCGAGTTTTCAGTTTTAGGTTTGTACAGTAAAAAACTCTCAGAAAATGTCACATCTAACTTTTTCTGCTACAGTGAAAAGCTTTCAGAAAATGTCACATCTTAACTCGAATTGAAAACTCGAATCTGTGAAGTGAACGAGGCCTAAATCACCAAGAATCAACAGATTAATATGCGGAAGCGTACCTGAATCCATGACAATCAATTACTCTCTAGAGTTATGCGGTTTATCTTCCAGATCAACATGTTCTCCTAGAGAATCCTTTAACTCTCTCTTGCTCTCTCTGATGATGGGATGTCAAAAAAGAGTAGAATAGTAATACGTGTGATCTGAGGACCATAACCACTATATATAGATAACTTTTCTGTTATCTTTTGATATTTCTATTTTAGCCCATCATAAAAATAGAATTACCCTTATGTCTCTACACATTAAAGGCTCACACTCTATTGGATACATTAAAGCCTAAATTACCCAAATCTTAGTAAACCACTTTAAATAGGCATAACCTTATATGACAGTTTACAACACATAATTATTCACATATAAGCCAATGTTGGATTAACAGTCCCATCATATAGGAGGCATACAAGTGCAATCATACAGAGCTATGCACAAAATCTGTTTTGATTGGCTTTGAACTTTCTAGGGGTATGACTTTTGAGTAAAAACAATCTGTCGTAGTTGTTAATTCAACTCGTGGACATAAATCTAGGCCCTGTTGTTTTGTTTAGCATTTGCGTAATTGATCTGCCCCCTCGCAAGACCTTCTTAGAAGATTTAGTATTCTCCGTTAAATAGATATGTATGGCCTTATTTTATCAATTTTGTGATGTCTCCTTAGAGAATATGTTGCTAAAATGATCAACAATTGACTCACTGAGGCGAAAGTATATGTTGGGAACACGTAAAAGAGCTTTCTTTTTTACATTTGTTGATAAATAGAACCTTGAGGACTGGACAATTAATACGGTCCGAGGCTTAATACTTTCTTGCCCACATTTCTTTGGCTTGGAAACAGTAATATCCTGTTCAATTCAAATTCCATAATTTTAAAGCCTAATTATATAATATTTGGCCTAGTTTATAATTATGTCATTTTTTTTTTGTACATTTCTCATCATTTTCTTTTCTTGGCACACTGGACAGCTTGGTCAAGTTTTTGGGCCTGAGTTCTTACTTAAGTTGTATCTAGCTGGTGGCATAGCTGGTTCTGTTTTTTACTTGGCGCATTCTGCCTTTTTGGCCTCATCATCAAAGGTATTGTTAGTCTGTTACACTTAGAAAACTTTTACACAAAATGGTAAAATGATGTTGGACTACAGTTTTTATGGATGCAGTTTGTTTGCTTTAGTTGGTATATATGGCAAGCCCTAAACAAGTTTCAAAACTTAAAAGTTTTAGCTCCTCCTAACTTTTTGCTATTCACAGGGCCAATTCTGGAAGGACCCTTTAAGAACGCCATCATTGGTATGTGTCAGAAAGTAGAAGATTTTATTTCCTAGTAGAGAATAAAATTGTAATTAGTTTACTTTCCTGTTTCTGAATAAAAGAACCGAATCTCTTGAATTGGGGTAAGGTTCCTAGGAGATAGGGGAATTTTCGGATTCCATTTGATTAGTTTCCGGATTGAGATTGTTTCTGTTTTTTTGCTAGCTGTCTTTGTGAGCTGTCAAGGGTACAATGTATCCTATAATTAGTTTGTACTCTACCGTGTATGAAATAAGAGGAATTAGTAATTTTTTCCCTCAAAACCTACATGGTTTCAGAGCTTAGGATTCTGATCTAAAGGAAAAATGGCAAAGACAGCCATGACCGGTGTAAACAGAGCCCAAACCTCATATGAGGTTACCTCTGAAAACAGTCCATACATCCCTCTCTATAGTGGTGTTGATCATATAACAACCGGTTCCTCCTTATAAATCTTTGTTCAAAGTTGAACGGGAAAAACTACCTTGAGTGGTCATAGTCTGTCAAACTTGCGCTCGATGGCAGAGGAAAACTGGGATATATTACTGGAGAAGAGAAGCAGCCCGGAGAAAAGGATTCAAGCTTTAGAAAATGGAGGTCAGAGAATTCTTTGGTGATAGCATGGCTTTTCAATTCCATGGAGGCAGCAATCGCACTGCCAACACCAGAATCCGTAAGGAGACCATGAGGTCACGGTATTAATAAAAGTCTTGATGAGGTAAGGGGAAGGATTCTTGGCCGAAAACCCCTGCCTTCTATTCGTAAGGTTTTCTCAGAAGTGCGATAAGAAGAAAACATGAGAATTATGCTGAACAGTGCAGCACCAACACCAGAATCCGAGGGCTCTGCACTAGTCTCACGTCATCCAGGAGGATCCGACATGGAAGGAGAAAGGAAAAAACGACCATGGTGTGATCATTGTAGAAAACCATGGCACACAGAGGAGACATGTTGGAAGATTCATGGGAAACTAGCGCATTTGAAGAAAAAACAAGATGGCAATGGCAGGGCTTTCCAAACCGCTACTGAAGACTCTCAAGAGCAATCAGTCAACTCGGAGGTGTCTCCTTCACAAAGGAACAGTTAGAGCATCTCTATAAACTCTTTAAATCTCCACAATTTTCTGTCACTCCTTCATGTTCCCTTGCAACCCAAGGTAATTCTTCTTGTGTCATAGCCTTTTCTAGTGTTGGACCTGTGTCTTCTAGCCCTTGGATTATGGATTCGGGAGCAACCGATCACATGACAAATTGCTCACATCTTTTCTCATCTTATAGTATGTGCAGGAAACAGGAAAATTAAAATTGTTGATGGATCTTTTTCGGCAATAGCCGGAATTGGTTTAATCAAAGTCTCTTCCTTCTTAATTCTTAATAATGTGCTTCATGTTCCAAAATTGTCATGTAATCTTATCCATTAGTAAGATAACCCAAGATCTTAATTGCAAGCTAATTTTTATTCAACTCATTATGAGTTTCAGGAACTGGCCTTGGGGAGGATGATTGGCAGTGCTAGGAAAAATGGAGGACTCTATTTCTTTAAAGATGGAACAGTTCCAAGTAAATTAGTCCGCAGTTCATGTTTTGAATCTGTCTCTTTCTAGTAATCATGAAATTATGTTGTGGCACTATAGACTTGGTCATCCAAGTTTCCATTATTTAAAACATTTGTTTCCATCTTTGTTTCTTAATAATAATCCATCTTCATTTCAGTGTGAAATTTGTATTTTTGTCAAACAACACTGATCTTCTTATTCCCCTTTACTATACAAATCCACTAAACCTTTTACATTAATCCACAGTGATGTTTGGGGTCCCTCAAGAACCCCAACACTTTTTGAAAAAAAATGGTTTGTCACATTTATGGATGATCACACTAGAGTAAGTTGGGTTTATTTGTTAAAAGAAAAATCAAAAGTTGAAGGAGTTTTCAAAGAATTTTACACCATGGTACAAAGTCAATTTCATGAGAAAATTCAAGTTTTTCGAAGTAATAATGGAAAGGAGTTCTTTAATAATGCTTTGGGGATATGAAATTCTCACGGCAACTTACCTTATTAATCGAATGCCCTCAAAACCACAAAACTTTCAAACTCCTTTGCAAGTTTTTTCAAAAAATTTTCCACTCTCTAGGATCTTATCTGAATTACCAATTAAACTCTTTGGTTGTACTGTCTTTGTTCACAATCATGATCAAAACCGTGGTAAATTAGATCCTAGGGCCAGAAAATGTGTTTTTGTAGGATATGCACCAAATCAAAAGGGCTATAAATGCTATGATCCTGTTTTGAAAAAGATGTTTGTATCTATGGATGTATCCTTTTTATAACAAAACCTTCTTTTGAGTCTCCTCTTCAGGTGGAGAAAAAGAGTGAAGATTCGACTTGGGATAAGAATTTAGTGATTGAAGATTTTTTCCAGATCAAACACAATTCAAATGCAGAATCTGGTTCTAAGCAATCAGTTTTAACTCCAATAAACTCAGATTTGACTCAAATTGAAAAAGTCCAAATTGAAAATTCTTCAATTGAAAAGACAAATGTAATAAATAATGAGGAATCCTCAAGACCAAGTCTTGTCTCAACAGAGAATAATGATTCTATTGAAGGAGATGCAAATAAGAAAAAATTTGGACTGGTTTACTCTAGGAAGAACCTGACTTTCTTCTGAAGTTTCCCAGCAAGGCCAAGAGTCCAACCCACGGTAGGACGAAAACTCTCCAGGTGTTTCTCCTCCCTCGTGTTCTATTCTTGAAGAAATCTCTCTCAATGACCGAAACATTCCAATTGCTCTCCGAAAAGGTGTTAGATCATGTACAAATCATCCCATGTCAAAATTTGTATATGTTTTTGTTAGGAGTATAGCCAACAAAAACACATTTTTTAGCTCGAGGGTCAAGTTTAGATCGAAATTGACCTGGTATGTGAACAAAAATAGTGCAGCCAAAGACCTTTAAAGGTAAATCATGGTATATTCATGTTTGAGAGAATTTTTTTTTAAAAGACCCAAGAGGTGTCATGTACTTTAAGACACGAGTTGGCATCATGTTAATCAAATAGCATGCAGTTAAAACAACATCACCCCAAAAATACTTTGGAACATTCATAAAAAACATTATGGCACATGCCCCTTCAAGTAAATGTTTGTTTTTACGCTCAGTAATGCCATTTTGTTGGGGGTATCATGACATGTAGATTGATGTGGATACCTTTTTCTTTCAAAAAATTTCTCAAGATCTCGTTGAAATGCTCTGCCCCATTATCAGAATGAAGAATACATATTTTTGTTTGAAATTGATTTTCAATCATGGTGTAAAAATCTTTAAATAATTTCTCAACTTCAGATTTTTCACTCATCAAATAGACCCAGCACAAACTAGTGTGATCATCAATATATGTCACAAACCACCTTATTCCAATACTAGTAGTAACCCGTGATGGGCCCTGAACATCACTGTGTATTAAATAAAATGGTTTGGTGGCAAAATAGGGTTTTGATAAATATGTGGCATGATGGCTCTTTGATGAATAACAGCTTTCACAATGAAAAGATGAACAATCAATATTTTTTTAAAAAAGCAGGAAATAAATGTTTTAAGATAAGAAAAACTAGGATGTCATAATCTTCGATGCTAATGGCATTATTTGTTCACGAACAGATTCAAAAAAGGTGACACGACAATTAGCATCTCTAGATAATTTACTCACAGACAAAAGAATGCGAGTAAGTTTTGGGACATGAAGGATAGATTTAAGAATAATATTCTCAGAGATTTTTATGAGTCCTTTCCCTGCAATAGGTGAGAAACTACCATCGGCAATTCAGATTTTTCACTACCAGAGCAAGGAGAATTGGAACTAAAGAGATTAAAGAAACTTGCCATGTGATCAGCAGCTCCCAAATCTATGATCGAAGAGCAGAATTTGAACATGATGAGGCATAGGATTAATACCTTCCAAAGAAACACTAGGAATACCCAGTGAGGAATTGGTTCGTAATAGTTTTAGAAAGTGATCCGTCTACCCTTTGCTAAAAGGCCCTGATTTTTCTTCATTGGCTGATGGAGTCACATGAGAAGTTCTCTCTCCTGGTTTGCTACTTTTCTAGTTTGCAGGCTTGCAATGAATTTTCCAGCAAGTTTCTCGAGTATGGCGAGGTCGCTTACAGTAATCACACGATACCCAAGGCTTCTCATTTGTCCTTCGTTGATAGCTGCTGGCCTTGTTGGCAGTTGCATCTGCAGCATTCAAAGCGGAGTTCTCAACAGGCTCATCAGTAGTCTTTTTTCCTAGCATAACAAATCTGCGGCTCTCTTCTCTCTGCACTTCAGAAAATACGTCACTGATAGAGGGAATAGGCGGTTTGCTAATGATTTTGCCCTGTACTTCGTCGAACTCAACATTGAGTCCAGCAAGAAACTTGTAATTACGATTGTTCTCCACCATCTTCTTGTAGTGATTACAATCTTCTGAAGATTTCCATTCAGTCATTGAACAGATCCCGGTCTTGCCATAGCCTCTTTAGAGAATTAAAGTACTTGACGACAGAGTTTTTTCCTTGTCGCATCTCTCCAAGTTTCAGTGTTAACTCAAAAATTTGAGACTGATTTCCCATATTAGAGTACATGTGGTTAATATTGTCCCATAATTCTTTGGCCGTGGGATAGCACATATAATTCGAGCTAATGTCTTTATCTATAGAATTAACGAGCCACGTCATGACCATGGAGTTTTCAGCATCCCAAGTAGCATAAGTTGAATCCTCTTTTGCTGGCGCCTTCTTGTCTCCGGTCTCCATTTAGGCGAAAGGTAGTCATCTGGACTGAGTGTGAAGCGGAGTGGGTTGATTGCGTCTCTAGTGTGTTTGAAGGATTAACAGGGTCAGTTGAGATGCAGATGAAATTTCTGACATGGCTGAGAAAGATTGAAGCAAAGAAAAAAGAGAGTTCTAGGGTTTAAAAAAGAACAGAGACCTAATTTGGCTTTGATACCATATAAGCAAAGACGAATCTTTGAAATAATTGTTTCCTTCTTATAGGAAAGGCTAATGCACAAAGTTAGGAATGAATAACTACTATCCAGCTAATTTCCCTTATTTACAGAGTTGACTAAATCATGAACACAGAATATACATTACAGCTATCAAATCCGTATGATTATGGTCAAATCACAACCGGATCTTCAATTTCTCAACATATGATTTAGCTATATACTAACACGCAATGGTTGAAAAGGTAAATAGGGGCCAAAAGTAAAATAATGAGATAAGCCCAAAGAATAGATCCAACACACAGTAAATGAAATACCTAGCCAAACATACTTATATGCCGTATGTAATGTGAAAGAAAGACTTACTACACGAGGCAAGGATCAGCGCAGCAAAGAGGCAAACTGTTTGGACTGGTGAGAGCTTTGGACAAGGAAAAGGCAATGCATCGTGGAGCTTTGGGCAGCTGGTGGCAGTGTTTCCGGTAGAGTTTTCAACTGTTGAATTCAAGGGTTAGGAAGGTTACAATCTTCTGAGCACTGTGATCGGGGGTGTCTTCAGTGGGTGACGGATGGTGGTGTTGGTGGCGCATGAGGCTGGTTTTGAACCTTGGAAGTGTTGAAAGAAAGAAGGAAAAAAAATGATGTTTTGACTGCTGTTGGGTTTGTTTTGGACCGGGAGAGCTTTTGTAAACAAGGTAGGTCAGAGGAATGGAAGGTTCTTTGATACGAAAAAATATGTAGAACTAGAGAGGGAAGATGAGAAAAGAGAGGAAAAAGAAGGGAAAAGAGGAGATAGGCAGAAATTAGAGAGATTGAGAAAGATGAGAAAACAAAGAGTTGAGAGAGAAGTAGAATACTGTAATTCTTATTCATTCAAGTATGAATTGTAGAGTAACAAAGCAGCCAATTTATAGGCTGGTTACATGCTATAATAGGAAAGTAAATATTGTAGATTAAATACATAAAATCATATCAGAAATAAAATCATCAATCATCAATTCCCCAATCAATCATATTAAATTCCCTAATCAGCCCCAATCAGTATCTTCAATCAAGCCTTATTTGTTTCTATATCTTTTTCTAAAATGTGTCTGCATCTTTGATGTGTATCTTTGATGTGTGTGCTGCATCATAAATATACCCAATTATGTTATGAAAGATGATGAAAGTTAAGATACAGTGCGTTTTATGTGTGAGTAATGTTGTGACTCAGAAATGAATAGTAATGTTGTGGACGTGGGCTTAAGTTAATATTGATACATTCCAGGTTGCGGACTTAAAGAAATGAAAAGTAATATTGATATATTTTTTTGCTTTGCTTCTGACTTAAAGTTAATTTGGGAAAAAGTCTAGTTTTGGGCCTTAATACTAAGGTGGAGGATGTGGTAAGTTTGGCGGCAATTGGAGGTTGTTCAGTGGTGGAGTGGCCGATTAAACATCTCGGCTTACCATTAGGTGGGAATCCAATCAGATCGTCTTTTTGGGTGCCGGTAATTTCGAAGGTGAATAAAAAGGCTTAATGGATGGAAGAGAGCGTTTTTATTACATGGAGGGAGATTGCCGTTAATTAGATCGGTATTGTCATTACCGATATTTTCTATTGATCTTTAAAATCCCTGAAGGAGTTACAGTGAAGATTGAAAAATTGATGAGGGATTTCTTTTTTTCTCTCTTTTTTTTTTTTTTTTTTTGGGAAGGGGGGGGGGTTGGGGGGTTGGGAAGAAACAAGTTAGATCATTGGGAGGTTGGGAAGAAACAAGTTAGATCATCTTGTGGCATGGGCTAAAATTTGTAAACCTAAGGAGAAAGGTGGTTTGGAGATTGGTAATTTGGTCTTCCGCATCAAAGCTCTTTTGTCAAAAGGGCTTTGGAGATTCCCAAGGGAAGGAAATTTGTTATGGTGCAGAGTGGTTTGAGGCAAATATGGGTTGAGTTTTGGAGAATGGGAATCATGAATTGTGATAGAGTAACTTTTACAAGTCCTTGGAAAGCTATTCAGGGTTTTGGAAAGATTTGTGGTTGAGTGAGGAGTCATTCTCTAACCGATTTCCTTGTCTGTATAGGAATTCGTCCCTTCATAATTCGGCTATCTTCTTCATTTTACAATCTGAGAGAGGGGAGTAATGTGTCCTGGAACTTTCATTTTAGGAGGGAGCCTAGTGAGAGAGAAATAGAAGAGACCATGGAGCTATTGGGATGATTGGAGGGTGTAAGATTGAGTGAGGTGATATGTGGGTGTGGAACCTGGAGGGGTTGGGATTGTTTTCTTGTAAATCTTTCTTTAAATTTCTTATTGATGATCAATCATTTCCTTCCTTTGGCCTTTATCCTTTTATTTGGAGTGACTCAGTTCCTGCTGGTGTCATGTAAACTTAACACTCACGATATGTTGCAAAGGAGAAAGCCGTATCTTTATCCATCTCCTAGCTCGTGTGTTTTTTGCAGAAATGCTAATGAGACGATGGTTCACCTTTTCCTTCACTGTCCGTTTTCAATTAGTATCTGGCATCGTGTACTGGGAGAATTTGGAATTGTTTGGGGAGTCCCTGAAAGAATCACAGAGCTTTTTGGCTGCGACTTTCTATTTGGAACTAAGGATATTAAGAGAGTGTGCAATATTGTTGCCCTTACTGGAACATTGGCTTTGTGGCTAGAAAGAAACAATCGAATCTTTTGAGGACGTTCGAGGCCAAAGTTTGGGATAGAATCAATTATTGGGTTCGCATTGTTGTTGTCTCAATCGAAGAATTTTAGTGGGTTCTCATTTTCAGATTTGATTAGAGGCTGGGACATTATTTTACGTTGAGATGGGGTTTTGTTTGAATTTATAGGCTCTGGGTTTGTTCTTTGTTCTCTGTTTTGGTTCTCTCTCTTCTATTTGTTGGTGGACGTCTTGTCCCCTACGTTGTATTTTTTTCATTATTTTTAAATTTCAATAAAATTCTTGTTTCTTATTAAAAAAAAAATGTTGTGGAAATGGACTGATAGACTACATTCAAGTTGGACTCGAGTTGAAAAACTTGAATCTTAGTTTGATTATTGTCCTGTCGCCGTTTGATTTTAGGGGGCTAGTGGGGCTGTCAACGCTATCATTTTGCTCGACATATTCCTCTTTCCAAAGTCCACCTTGTATTTGAACTTTTTCATACCAATTCCTGCTATTTTATTGGTAAGTTTCCTTCGATATTTTTTTTTGTGGTCACCAACAATCAGGCAGATCCTTATGGAGTTGTTCTGGTTTGTTCACCATTTCAGGGGATCTATCTAATTGGCAAAGACGTCTTGGGGATGATAGAGGTATTATTCTCTCCTTTCTTTCACTGCTTGTTTTTGGACCCGTTTGACATTGCTTTTATAAGCGAACTTTTGCTTTCCCGAGACCAAATGTAGCGTTTAGAGGTATTAGGAAGAAATACTGAAAGAGCTTTTAGCTGCTAGAAGATCTTCCCAGAGAAGCTGGATCCCCACTCGGATCGAATTGTTGGCAACGATTATGTTTATTGGCCTGCCTGACCTTGTTCATTCATTATTTTTTATCTTCATTTTTCTGTACAAATTTTGTAAAATAAGAGAATTGTATTCCAACTAACAACTCTTATTATTATTGCAGGGAGACACTCCAGGATCTGCTCATCTTGGTGGTGGTGTAGTGGCGGCTGTAGCTTGGGCGCGGCTTCGGAGGGGAAGATTCTGAATAAGAATTGCTTTTGAGATACGGGATTCCACCCTTTTTTTGGGCGTTGCTTAGATCAAAAGGCGAAATTCAAGTGTTATTAACTGTTTTAGTTAGTTCTTCTAACAGGTTTTTCTTTTGGATTAAATCCAAAATCTACACTAGCAAATGCTGCATAGCTTCATTTTCCAATGCCCTTTGTCAAGTAAAATGCTAAAGACATTTGAGTAACAAACAAGAACAATAGCTATAAATGACTTCTTTCTTCTTTTTCTTTTTCCTTTCCTTAAGGGGGGAGTCTCGTATGTGGTAATCGGTAGGAATCACATTACTGGAAAAGTGAGAGGATAATATGATTTTCAGAAATTATATATTCTTTAGTTTGGTTACATACAGTAATCTTCTTTTTAGATTTACAGGAAATATTATTTTACTGTATTTGGTTGTACATGGTAACGGAATGTATTTTTTCTTATAAAATTCATGATTTTGAGTATTGTTAGATCAATTAATCCTATTATATTGGGTATTTATCATATTAACATTTTTTTTTTCAAATATCATAACAAAATATTCTTTAAACGAAACAAAAATTGGAAATAAACATAAAATAAGAAGAAAAATGAAAATTCTCTTCCCCCACGCTCAGACTCTCTCTCCCTCTGCTCTTGAATCGCTATCCTCTCCATCGCACTCTCGCACCACCTAGCGGTTAAACTTGACGAATTAATTCTTTTTCTCTTCACATCAACATAATGGGTTTGACAATTCAATCATCAAAAAAGGGTTCGGCAATGGGCATTTCAGCATCCCTTTCCTTTTTTCTAGACACAGAGACAACGGATTTAAGCAAATCGCCAGAACCCTCTATCGAGATGGGTGGTTTCGCAAGGTGATGGACGGTGCTAGTGTTGGAAATGTGGAGCCAAATCAACAAGTGAATAAAAGAGGAAAAAAAAAAAAAAAACGGGGGAAAGAGCGCTGCAGCGCTAGTAAATGAGCGCCTAGGGGCTGGGGCTGATTAGCAGCGATTTTTGACAGAAAGTATAGGCTGCAGCGCTATGACATGCTCAGGCGCTTCAGAAAAACTCCTTTGGCTGCCGCAGCGTCAAGGAATTTAAGGGCTCGTTCAGTTCGCTAATTCAAATTTTTAATTTGAGTTGAGATGTGAAGTTGTGTGAGAGCCTTTTACTGTAGCAAAAAAATTAGATGTGACTGTTTCTGAGAGCTTTTTACTGTAGCAAAACTCGAATCAGTGAAATGAACGGGGCCTAAATTCAAACTTAATTTTAAACCATAGAGTTACAAAAATACTATAAAATAATAAATTAGATGTTGATTTCGGATAAAAAACTAACGGAGGGGGCTTTTTGTTAAGATTTGAAAAACGAATGTTATGTGTCAAAAATTAGAGGCAAAGTATTATAAATGATATAGTTTAGGAGGAGTTTTTGTAATATTGTTGTGTGGACCCATTGATGGTTGATACATATGTTGTTGAATCAATTCTAATATGACTTAGTATGTCAAAGTTTAACAAAGCTGAAATTTGAAGAAGACAAAAACAACAAGTCGTTTTTGAGCTCAACAACAGCGCTTATTAGAGGAGATGTTTTGAAGCTGACGTGGACTAGAACAGCACAAGTGGGAGTATATGATTGGACCGACTTACGTGGTCTCTAGATAAAAGAAACATAATTCTGTTTCATTGTAATATTCTTTTTAGCTTCTATTTTTTTCTTCTTTGAAAAGAATTCTAGAGAGAAAGAGAGAGAGAGAGAGACGGTATAGAGTGAGAAGGGTGAGAGAAAAGGTGAATTTTCTTGGGTATTTTCTTGCTCAGTTTCTCGGGAAAGTGTTAGGCTGTTAGTTGATTGAAGTTTGTAACTCTCTTGTAAACAACTTTGTTCAGATAGTGCATATCGAATTTCCTCTGGGGAGTTCGCGGAGATGTAGGTGTGATTTCACCGAACTCCGAAATCAAATTGTTGTGTTCTTGCAGTTTTCTTTTCTGTTTTGATTCGGAAAGATCAAAGTCGGTGTTGGTTTAATTTCCAACAGTGGTATCAGAGCACTTGGTTAGGAAAGGGGATCGATCTCAGTCAAGAATCTAGGGCAAGAAACACTAGAGATTGAAGGAGTTCAAGATTCCGTTGAAGGTTCCCTAGATTTGGGGGATTTTGAAGATATACCGCTGAATACGGAGTCTTTTGGAGGTTTTACATCTTCGGATCTAAGTCAGACTACTCAACCCACGAAGAATCCAATTTCTTTTAGGGGTATGAAAAATATGAAGATAGAAATCGACAAGTTCGATGGTTATGGCGATTTTTTCATCTGGAGAAGGAAAATCAAAGGACTCCTAGCCCAATAAAGGTTGCTCAAAGCGTTGGAAGAATCCCCAAAATGGCCTGAAGAATTCTCAGATGATCAGAAGCAGGAATTTCTTGAGACTGCTACAAGTATCATCATCCTTCACTTATCTGATTCAGTTATAAGATTGATTGATAAAGAAGAGAATCCTGCCAAGATTTGGAATAAGTTGGATGAACTTTTCCATAAGAAATCTTTAACAAATAAGATTTTCTTGAAAGAGAGACTTTTCGGTTTCAAGATGAATACCTCCACGTTGTTAGATCAAAATCTTGATGATTTTCTTAGGATGAACATTGAACTAGCAAACTCAGGAGAAAATGAAGCTCTAAGTGATGAGAATCAGGCAATCATCCTGTTGAATGCTCTGCCAGAATCATACAAGGAGGTAAAATCTACCATTAAGTTTGGCAGGACCTCTATCACCTTGGAAGAGGTCATATCAGCCTTGAAGTCCAGGGATCTTGAGATCAAGACTGAAAGGCAAGACTCATCAAATGCAGAAAATCACTTGGCCCGAGGACGGAGTAAACAAAGATCAAATAATTCAAGAGGAAGAAGCAACAGTAAATGGAAAGGAAGACCAGCCTCTAGGGGTCCTGACACAAGCAGGAAGTGCTTCTTCTGTAAGAAACCAGGTCACCTAAAGAAGGACTGCTATGCCTTTCAAAGAAAATAGAAAGAGAAGCAGAACTCCTCCAATGGAAATGACAATAATGAGTCGGCCAATTTCAGTGATGGATATGAAAGTGGTGAGGTGTTGTTAGTGGCAAACAAAATTGATAGTCAAGACTGGATACTTGACTCAGGGTGCACCTATCACATGACTCACAATAAGTCTTGGTTAACTGACTTCAAGAAGATAAATGGCGAGAAAGTAATGATGGGTAACAGCCACACTTGTCAAGTGGAAGGAACATGAACTGTCTCCATCAAAATGTTTGATGGGATAGTGAGATAGTTAAGGGATGTGAGATATGTTCCTAGCTTGACAAGAAGTCTCATCTCACTTGGAATTCTGGATGATTCGGGCTACACTAACAAGATTGAAGGTGGAAAAATGAAGGTCTGTAAAGGCTCAATGGTAGTGATCAAAGGAGTAAAGAAAGATAGTCTCTATTATTTGTTGGGAGAAACTCTAATAGGGAAGATGTCAGTGGCCATTGCTCCTGAAGACTCTAAGGCAATGCTGTGGCACAATAGGTTGGGGCACATTAGTGAAAGAGGTCTCAAGATCATGAGTGATCAGAAACTTCTTGGTAAGGACAATGTAAGCAAAGTTGATTTTTGTGAACACTGCATCTTAGGAAAGCAGCATAGGCTCAAGTTCAGCATAGGGACTCATGAATCAACAAGGATCTTGGAGTACGTGCATGCAGATCTCTAGGGTCCAGAAGATGTTACAACCCATGGAGGTAACTCTTACTTCTTATCTATAGTTGATGATTTTTCTAGGAAAGTGTGGGTTTACTTACTTAAAACTAAAGATGATGCATTAAGTAAGTTCAAGCAGTTGAAAACCTTACAGGAAAATCTGATAGATAGGAAGGTAAAAACCCTTAGAACAGATAATAGGCTAGAATTCTGTAATAAATAGTTTGATAATTACTGTGCTAAGATATGGATCCAAAGACATAGAACAGTAAGGAAAACTCCACAACAAAATGGAGTTGTTGAAAGAACGAACATAACCTTATTTGATAAGTCTAGGTGCATGTTGTTTTGGGTTACCAAAGAGTTTCTGGGGAGAGGCAGTTGTTACTATTGCCTATTTGGTGAATAAATGTCCCTCAAGTGCCATTAACTTTAAAACCCCAGACGAAATATGGAGAAATAAACCACCAGACCTGTCTCATTTGAGAACTTTTGGTTGTGCTGCCTATGCGCACCAAAAAGAAGGCACACTAGATCCTAGGTCCATTAAATGTGTTTTCTTAGGGTATCGTGAGGGCACAAAGGGATATAGGTTATGGGTTAGAGATGGTAGAGGCTTTAACACTATAAATAGTAGGGATGTCATTTTCAATGAATATATTTTCCCTTGCCTTTCTAACATAAATACTACTGCAGGAAAGAGTATTTCTGTCACTAACCCTGTAGGTACAATAGAGACACAAGTTCAGGTGGAGCAACAGAATGGCAGTCAGTCTCATGTGGAGCATCAGAATATTGATCAGCCTTAAGGGGAGCAAAATTTTCAGCAATTAAGTGAAGATTCTCCTAGTTTAGAATTAGAAGTTGACTTACAAGATGTTCAAGAAGAAGAGACAATTGCAGACATCACCATAAGTGATTACCAACTAGTGAGGGACATGTCAAGAAGGAAAATTAAACCTACTCAGAGATATGAGTTTTTTGCTTACACAGACTTGCTTGCATATGCCTTCATGACAGCGATAGATCTTGATAGAAAAGAGCCAGTAATGTATAAAGAAGCTATTGAGGGACCAAAATCAAAGTTATGGATCACTGCAATGAAAGAAGAGATGAATTCTCTATACAAGAATGAAACCTGGGTAATGGTTCCTAGGCCTAAGGATCAATCTGTTGTTGCATGCAAGTGGATTTATAAACTGAAGGAAGGACCATCAGATGCTGAACAAATTAAATACAAGGCAAGATTAGTTGCCAAAGGTTTTACACAGAAGGAGGGAATAGATTTTACCGAAGTATTCTCTCCTGTGGTCAAATACAAGACCATTAGAATCATGCTCTCGATGGTAGCTCAATTAGACTTAGAGTTGGACCAGTTGGATGTCAAAACGGCATCCTTGCATGGAGAGCTTGAGGAAAGGATATACATGGAATAGCCAGAGGGGTTTGAAGTTCAAAGGAACAAGGATATGGTCTGCCTATTAAAGAAATCGTTGTATGGGCTTAAACAGTCACCCATACAATGG